GCCGAAATCTCGAACTGCAAAACACCTAAAGAAAAAGCCATTTTTCATGCCAACATCAGAAGCTTCCTTTTCACGAATCCAGGGAGGCCATCCTGGATTCGCCTATGCCTTGAATTGGATCTAGTTCTGGAAACACGGTATACACACACAAGTGCTCAACGCAAGTATGTAGCAATGTAACGTTTTCTGCTTTTTGATTCTGACATTCAAGCAAAGCTAGAAAATTTACCAAAAAGATTTACCGAGAGTGTGCACCATTGGCGACTGAGCATTCTGCACCTCCGGCCGGAAATGCCAACAAAATCCTGAAACGCAAATGTCAGAACAAACAAGCCGAAGTGAAATTTTGTCGTAAATCGAGGAGCCGCAGAATGTAAAGTGAATTTGCAAAAAATGCAAACGAGTGCTGCGTAAAAAGGCACGATGTGGCACTTACAGGACCGGGACAACAGAGGTTAACTGCCTAGGCTGCCCCAAAAACACATGTGGACAAGAATGATCCTGCAATTTTTGCAACGTCACACGATTCCTCGCTTTTCTAGAAACTCAGCCAAAAATATCCCAGAACTGGGAGGAACGAAAGAATTCAAGCAAAATAAGAATAAATGTGAAGAGAGGGACAGAGAGAGAGAGAGAGAGGGAGGCAGCGAAATTGCGCAGGAATATCTGTGGCCGAGCTCTGAGTTTTTGACCGACTTACACCACAAATTTTAACGCCACAGTGTGTGCTGCTCGAATTAAGAAATCAGGTGACGCAGCTACACGCTTCTGACAACACTCAGGCGTTAATGATTACGTGTTAACGCAATTAAAACAGCAACGCAACAATCGCTGGCGTAAAGCTGAACAGAGGACGCGCCCTGGACTGATAGCTGATCTATTAACTCATCCAGAAATGGCAACATCCCGCTGGGCCAGGTAAACCAACAAACATCTTTCCAATCAACAATAGCTTCAAACAACACCACACCACGCAAAACTTCTACAACACGCGAGGACACGAATGCACAGTGCGCAAGAGACAACTCAAAACAACGACTCATCGGCCGTGCCTTCACT